ACTAATTTTGGAAAGTAGCTTCGAGGCATTATCTGGCTTGGTTCCATCTATCAAGTGCTTATTATAATTTGAAATTATTTTGTTTCATTCTCGATTTCGATGGAATAAATATTGACTGAATAGACAAAATTAAAAAATATTGTATCCAACCGGGCGATTGGAAATGAATTTTTTTAGATTGAATTTCATATATTGGATGATAGAAAAAAAAATTTGAGTAGAAATTTGAATTTGATTTTGAGTTGGGGAGTAGATGAGTTGAAATACAATGATTAAAGTTGATATGATCTAAAAATAGTAAAATAATAATTAAAAATAATTAATAATTAAAAATATGTGAGTGGTGAATAGTATTTGTTGGAAATTGAGTGACAATAATTGAGTTTATTATTTTATTATATTTATAATATTGAAGAGAATTGAGTTGAATTAAATTTAACTTTTGTTATTATTATGTTCATATAACATAACTTAAGTTGAATATCCCTCTCTCTATATATCAATGTAGAATGTCTCGGTGTCGACTTCTGGTGCTTTGTAATCCATGTGCCGAATTCTGGTGCTTTATAATTCTATGTGTTAATTTATGGTGCTTCAAAATAGTTCATGTAAATTTAGATTCTATTCATATCTATTAAGAATTTTAAAATTATAAAACACCTTAGAGAATCCACAATGCACTAGGTTCAATTTTACATATGTGACATATAAACGGACTTAAGTTCTGAATGACATGGACAAATTCAAGTAAAAAAAAATTAAAGTCATCCAGTGCAAAAATAAAATACTAGGTCTACAATATCTGTCAACCAATAAAAATACTCTAAAATATTTTTTATATTAAGAGAAAATTAAATTAGGAATAAATGCTGACTGGTCAGGTTTGTACTTTCTCAATTTTTGATTGCCACATAAGTTAGACCTAGTCTACTTTTAATTGCATTGAAAAATATTTTTTAATAGACTAAGTCTATTTCTTACATGACATATGATATTTTTGTAAGAGACTCAAAGCATTGTGTGTGTTCTTACTTAAATTATAAATATATTTAAAAGTTAATAAATTTTATATTTGTTATCCGTTTTTCATATATAATATATCAAATTTATATTTTTTTGGCGAGATTCGATGTTGATATCTATATTGTATATATAAAATAAATAAATATTTTTTTCTTTATTATTAAATTAGATCATCTATTAATATTAATTAAAATTTAATAAAATTATATATCAATTAAAAAGGTTGTTACAATAACTATAATTAAATCAGCTCTTTTATTACGAATTTCATATTTTTTAACTAGCAAGTATTCATTAAATGTTTATAAAAAAAATATTAGAAATAGTTAAATGTATTTCAATGGACCTCTCATAGGAAATACCTCGTCGGATTTGACTTCATTCAGACAATCATCTTTGGAATTTGGTTTTCCCAAGAATAATTCTTTTCTTGCTCCAAACTCAGCACTCATTCCTTTTCCCCTCCTTTGCTGCATCCTTCGTAAACGAACAGTAATAGATAAACAAACAAATCCAAACCCTTCCTCAACAAATTGGCGCCGAATGTTTCATTTCTCCTCGAATTAAAGGTCTGAAACTGGAAAAGGGAATGGCGGTTACCGGCGGCGATCGTTCGGAGATAGCTTTCTTCGACGTGGAGACTACCGTGCCGACCAGAACGGGTCAGGGCTACGCCATCTTGGAATTCGGGGCCATCCTCGTCTGCCCCAGGAAGCTCGTGGAGCTCCGGAGCTACTCCACCTTGGTCCGACCCGCAGACCTCACCCGCATCACCTCTCTCTCCGTCCGGTGCAACGGCATTACCCGTGACGACGTCGTTTCTGCACCCTCCTTCGCGGAGGTTGCTGATTTGGTCTACGACCTCCTCCATGGTAATTTAACCTTTTTCACTCTTTGTTCCCCAATTCTGCAGAAAAAAATTTACACTCTTTCTTCCCCAATTTTTTACAATCTTTCTTCCCCAAGAATGGTAAAAACATTAAATAAGCTGATTATGATAGTTTTGAGGAATATAATAACTTTGGCTCTTTGTTGAAGAATAAGGAAAGGATATAAATGGGTTTGAGATATTTCTGACAAGAACTCATCTTGTGCCAAAAGAACGTTTTTTTTTTCTTTTTTTTNGAGTAATTTAGCAGTTTTTGATGATTTCCGATGGTATTATTTTCCTTTGTTTATTCAAATAGAGTATTGTTCGATTATCTGCAATGCTTGCTTGGGATTTTTTACTTCTGACACATTGACACGGTTGTTACATTCGGAGCACAGGAAGGATATGGGCTGGTCATAATATATTGAGATTCGATTGTGCTCGTATAAAAGAGGCATTTGCTCAGATTAAGAAGCCTGCTCCGGAGCCTAAGGGAACGATTGATTCCCTGCCGCTACTAACGGAAAAGTTTGGAAGAAGAGCTGGTAATATGAAGGTAGAAATTCTGTTTTGGAAAAGAACTACTGTTATCATTTCAAGAAATTCATCACTAATATTGTACCATACCCTTTGGATTCATTTGAAAACAAAATTAATTGTTGGCAATTGGCTTTTT